AGTTAATTTGCAACATAAATTAAACAAATATACAACAGAAATTCAGTGATACAATATACCATAATATCAAACACAGAACTCCTCAGAATAAATCAGAGGTCTATAATAACACAAATAATTTATTACAGGTTCAGAGGAGGGGGAAAAGTCCATCTAAACACTGACAACAAAGAGGCTAATCTGGCCTTTTGTTGGACTAAATTCCACAACCTGGGTGCCACCTCAGAGAAGGTGCTGTCTTGCAACTCATCCAATCAAACTTCCAAAGAAAAAAGCATGTAGAGCAAAGCTTTTGAAACTGATTCAGTGTGGGAGAGGGATCCTTGGAGTACCCTGGTCCCAAAACATCATAAAGCCAAATTTTATGACCACCCTCCAAGCAAATTAAGTACCAGTAAGACCCATCCACCATCAGAAATTTGTCTCCACCACCACCGCACCTTTCAAAAGAGACTCATCATGCCACATAAACCCAAGTGAGACAAGAAGAAAATAGAACCAAAGGAAATGAGAAGCAGAACCCATAATTAAACCAACACACATAAAGACACCCTCACAAACTTCAAACAGGCAAGAAACAGTCGAATCAGTTGTATGCTGAGCATTTCCCACTGCTGCTAACATAGCAGTTATAAGTGTCAGAATCCCGGAATCTCAATTTGAGAAGAGGGAATAAAACTTGGGTTTGTGGGAAAGGTCAAGTGTCCAGATCATCGGAGGCTTTATTGTATTATCCCAAGGTTTCCGCGGTACTCACGATAATGCATTACTGGGCAGGCAGAGGTGAACTCTGCTGCCAAGCTTCAATACCGTTACAGGGTATTTTATAGGTACACAGGTACAGGGCAATTGATGACAGAATGCAGAGATTACAATAAGATTCTGAGGTCATCACATACAGAACAGATAAAGAAATGTCAGTCAATCACACAGTAACAATGAGATTACAATATTTCGAATTGCCTGCATTGACACTTTAGTTCAGTAGCTTGAACCCATCTCCAGGTCTGCTTAGACATGTAAATTCAAGCTACTGAGAAACTATGAATGAGCTCAAGACTCTTATCTAGATTCTAGACATTCTGAATTGGCCAGGGCACATGGAGCCTCTGGGCTAGGAAGATGCTTCCTTGAATTCCAACAATGATTAATCATTGTGAAGGTATACAATGTAAATTCGGACTAAATGACCTGTGTACTGTAGCTTACAGCTAAAGGTGAGAGAAAGGAGCGGGGGATGAAGGCCATTTTAAACAGTGACAGCTTGGTTTTGAGAAGGAAGACAGGATTTGATCCCACAATGCAAAAAGCACACAGAAGTAATGCCTTTCAGACAGGATTTATCCAAATTTTCCCAACATAAGTCAACTGAGCAGGCAGGTGTTTACCCCACTGTTCAGGTTATGTGCAGACACTCAAGAACTCCTTTTTCGGGCACTGGGTATGATCATTAGCTCCTTGTTTAGCGCTCCAGAAAGTTATCAATCCAGACCTGTATCAGGGACTGCAGGCCAAACACAACCCAAAACCTGAAAAATAGGTTTGATCAAAGACCACAGTAGGACAAAGGGAAAAAACAGATGGATAAGGTTAGAGTCAGTTGCACGGAATTCTGATGAGGGAGTTGGATAATCTGAGTCTTAAAGACTTTCCTAAACGTTTGCAACAAGGGGAAACAGGGACTGCCCATCAACAACACATATGGGAAACCCATCAACAACAATGCTTTAACAGGAGATAACAGCTGATTTTTAAAAATCCCAAACAAGAAGGTGGGGCTCCTCAAATACTTTTGTCAGAGAGACAACTTCAAACAATAGAGTGAGAAGTTAATTATTAACGGAACTGCCACCCACAATTGTGTAAAGCTTATCAACTTTATAAAAAAGGGAGGGGGAAGAAAAAAGGAAGGCAGGCTTTGCTAGGGTCACAGAGATGCTATTTGTGGGTTCATGGATGCTATAAAGGTTGCAGCAAAACCAAGAGGAAATTATAAATGGGCAAAACAAACATTCCTCAATTCAAGAATATTATATAACCCATGATTGTAGTTGGGAAGGAAAAGTTCCATTTCCACATTTTCAACAGACAGATACTTAGCTATGATAAAAACGTATAAAGATACATCAGAAACAGCGTGTACAGAAGATACAAAGACTTTATAAAATACAGGAATTCATCAGTGCTTGATTGGCACCTGTTCAAATGGGAGTGACAAAGACAGTTAAAGAACATGTTTAATGACTTGAAAGCTCCACGGAGTTAGCTCCATCCTAACTAGTGCGGTCAATTTCTGGAAAAATTTATTATATTTATATTCCACCTTTTTTCCTTCTTAAGGAACTCAGGGTGGCTTATATAATTCTCCACCACCCCTCAGTATTATCCTCACAGCAACAACCCTGTGAGGCAGAATGGGCTGAGAGCCTGTGACAGGCCCAGTGAGCTTCACGACTGAATGAGGATTAAAAGCAAGATCTCCTGAGTCCCAGCCCTGCACTCTTATCCAATACACCACACTGGCTATGCTGCAAGTCTGTAAACCTTCCAGTTAGAAAGGAGAACTGTTGCCTGCTTTCCCCATTATACTCTCAGATCTTAGTGGTTTTACAAAGGCAGAGGTTTTTGAAGTGTAAAGTATCCATTAACTAACTCAAGCTTCTTTAATGTCAAGGATTGGTGAGAGAATATGTTTCAGGAATGCTACATCCAGATCTTAACTTCCCTGCACTACCCAAAATTTGGTGGTTTGGGAGAAAGGGAAGAGGACAAGGGAAGAGAGTCTGATCTTCTTGAGATCCCCAGAGCACTGGATTTGGCTCCCAGGCCTGATACACTATGCCTTGGCACTACAGCAAATTCAATTTTCCAAATTTTTGCCTTAATTTTAAAACAACCAAAGCCCTTGTACTTGTAAGTTAGCTCTCCAAATGGATCACACTAAAACTATCACCATCTCCATCCAGCACAGCTTGGGGGGGGGGGGGGGGGTTAATGGAAGCTGTAGTTCAGTGTGTCTGGAGGGCACCAGGTTGGAGGAGGTTGTTTTAAAATGTCCCCAAAAAGGAGACTCATGCTCTTGTCATCCGGCCTGCAAAGCAGGTGACACTGACTCTGGTGACAGCATGGTGGCTGCTGGAGGGATGCCAGACAGGGAGTCTCGCACAGCCTTCTAGTTTCTTCGTGCACAGAAAGGATTTCTCACACTCCTGTTGTGAACGCAGGAAGCTGCCTTACTCTAGGTCAAAGTATTTGTCCATTTAGTCCACTGTTATTGCCTGCTCTGTCTCAAAACAGCTCTCCAGGGGCTCAGGCAGAGGCATTTCCCATCACTTGCTACTTGATCCTTTTTAACTAGAGGTCCAAGGACTGAACCTGGGATCTTCCCTATTTAAAGCATATGCTTTACATCTGGGCTATGGCTCCTCTTCAGGGAGCAAAGCTGCTTAGCCCCTGTAAAAGGAATCATGGATTGTTGAAATGCAGAACGGAATGGGTGCTAATAGACACACTTGACAGAAGCACATTTAGGATGTGTTTAAGCTATAGCTCTACAAGTTGGTCAACCTCTGTATTGTGGCACATTCTACAGAATGAGGGTCCACCTTTGGTACTAGGAAGTTTTCCCGTCAACTCTGCCCACTGATGTTTATACACTAAAGATGTAGCATGATAGGATACTGCACTGGCTGCATAGGGCTCATGAATCGTAGAGGGAGAGGAAGGAAAAGTGTAAAAACAGGAAATCTATCAGTTTGAAAGGACAATAAAGAAAAATCACAGAACGTTTTAGCCAACACAATCTAGCATAAAGTTATTTTGATTAAATATTCATTATGGACATAGATGCACAGTTTGCAAAATTACACAAACTGTTCACAAAATTACACTAACTGCTGGAGGCAACCAAAAATAACAATCACAGGTAATAACAGCAATAGCTCTTCTTTAACATGTATAGCAGTGACATTCATAAAGGTTAAGTGTGGCGACAGCCTTTTTGGCAAACGTGTCACATACCAAGTCTGTCTACTGCCTGTCCAGCAATTACATTTTAATGCTAAACTTCCTCCCAGGACCTCATGGCTCCCACCCCACCCAGACTTCTATAACCACAAGAGCCCTGGGAGACTGAGAGATAACAAATGGCCTGAAGTTACCCAATGAGCTCCATGGTTGAGCGGAGATATGAACTTGGATCTCCCCAGTCCTAATTCCATACTCTCATCGCAACACATGAATCTTCATTAGGAAATTTGATAGAATTAATGGTTTCTCCAGAGAGAAGAAGGATTAGTCTGACACTTATTACAAGACATACAACCTCATGTCTTGCCTGGTTTTGCCACTTGTTTACCAAAACAGGGAACCGGCAGTGAGGTAGCATGGGAGGCGCAGAGAAGTGTGCAAGCCTGAAACGATGTGGGAACGCAAACTTATGGTTCCAGTCATCAAGAATTCATGACAGAAAGAATTCAAGATTTAACCAAAGTTAATGAGCAGTCAAGTCTATGGTTTCTGGGTGGGTGGGTGTGGAGGGAGAGAGAGGGAGGGAGGGAGAGGAGAGTAAAAGGTCTTTAACCATCCCGAAGAAACCAGAATTGTGTGTTTGAGTTTGCTTGAACACAACCTGGATATTGAAGTTTCGATTGTGCTCCCTAGAAGGTGTCTTTAATGTGTGAAGCTATGGACAAACTGCAGAGAAATGCTAAGGGACAGCAAAGTCCACTTGTTGATTAAGGAAGTTGCTTCCTGACCCATACAACCACAAATGATAAGACTAAAAATATGGGCACAGTACTACACATTTCTGACAAAATGCACCACCTTTTCTGATATGGAAAACAGTCTCGTTATCACAGCCTTTGAGGTAACAGTTTATCTTAAGTGTTAAGTAAGTGGGAAGCACACAGGATTCTTCTGCAAGGACTACTAACCGAGTCTGCTCCCTCACAATCATGCTCACGTAATGACACCCTTTCATCTTTTGCCTCATGCAGTGCAATTTGACATGATGCGAGCCTGTAACATGATTGCCACAGTGGCTCTGACAGCTGGTCAGCTCCTCTTCATGCTGGGGTTAATAGAACTGCCCATCATCCCTCAAGATACCCAGTGGTGGGAAGAAGCCATCGCTGCCGTGTTCCAGCTTGCCAGTAAGTACAATCTTTCTAAGTTGGAAGGTGCTTTTATCTGGAAAAGCTGAGCGCTCTTTTACAAAACGTTCAAGCGCAACAGAACCATAAAATGTTTGGCGTTGCATATTCTTTATATCCTTTGCATACTTGGGATATGCAGCTAGATCTGCAGGTTCTGTGACATGAATTCACACACACCCTTCCCTTGACTTGCCCACTGCTATTTCAAGGAATGTCAGGGCTAGGAGGAGAATATTAGTTTTTTGTGGGTGAGAGACTTTAGGGTGAGAAAGGGCTTACCTCTAAAGACAAGGTGGTCAGGGATTGGGGTTTTCCCGCTTTTACAGAAAAAGGGGAAACTTTCAGTGCTACCTCAAGTAGCAGCTAGGCCATCAGACAGCCATCTTTTCTTCCAACATTGTCCTGAGGAAGAATGCTTAAGGCATGATATGGCATTGTTCTCACGGAGCATTCTGTTCTCAGATGAGAAGGACAGGCTGCCAGGCTGATGAGGACAGCCTAGCTGCCATTTGCAGCAAAGGGGAAGCTGTTTTGCCTCATAAAAGAGCACAGCCAAGCTTGTTTTTAAAAGTATACACACCATCTGAACTTTCTGTAATTTCCCCATCCCGAGAAACGTAATCCCTTTTTACTCCCAGTCCCACAAAGCTCTGAAAAAGTCAGGGCCAGATGGCTCATGCCAGAACTTAAATCAAGTTCTATATGGAAAATGGGTGAGCAAGAGCCATGGGCACCCACAACCACACCGGCAACATGAAAAACAAGACTGCCACCCTAGTGCCTGGGCATTTTGCAAACTTGTATTTACTCTGTTTGGAATGTTTTTCTTTTTAATGGCATTGACAATGGTACAATCAATCTGGCTATACTAACCAGTTTGAATTATAGCATGGTATTTGTTTGCCTCTGTATTGCCCCACTGTTTTAAGGTAAAGTAAAGGGGTGGGCAGGAATAATCCAGAGGCAGAGATGGAACAGATTTAGGCTGCTGTCCTACAGTTCATCTATGACTGGCTGGTCTATGACAGGCTCAAGGGTGTTGTGGCAGTGCTGCTCCAGCAGCAGGCAGCAATTGCACCTACCACACCAACAGCTCTTGGTAGAAGGTTCTGCTGATGCAGATTCATGCCATGGGTGTCGGTATAAGGGGGAACAAGGGCATGCTGCAGGAGGTGCTGGACTTAGCTGGGGGAGGCCTTGCATCCAAAGTCCCCTGATTCTGTCAATATGCCCCTGAGAAGGACAAAGAGCTACCTAGCTGCAGTTAGTACAGTGATACCTTGCCATTGGTTGAACTTCCTCTCCCTTCTACAGGTATGTTAAATTAACATCAAAAAGTTAGGACAATTACTGCTGTTATGAATAACAGTGTGCTTCTCTTTTATTTATCAGAGAATTTATAGAAAATACAGAAATTGTATAGAAAATAAAGAAATTTCTATAGAAATTCTGAAGACTCGGTTTTCAATAAAATGGCAGTCACTCACACTTAACAGCACATATGGTGCACAAGACATAACAGAACATTTTATTGGTGAAAAAGGAACCCATGGATATATCTATTACTCTTAAATGCAACACAATTCTAAAACACGGAAGCTTTATGTAAGGTTTAATTGCAAAATTTCATTTGCACTTAAAAGAAAGGCAGGGCCTTTTGTGGTCATGGAGAAGCATAGGCGTGAAGCTAAGAAAGTTGTGGGCAACATGTTAATAAGCAGTGGTCAGAGTTGGGTATACATGATAATGTTAGCCCTGAATAAAAGTATTTTATTGTACAAATACAAATATAAAAATTGTATTTTCTTTGGTGGCATTCAGATTGCAAAATGCTCTTTCTAGACAAATTTGGTTGGTATTTTGATGCCAGTTGTAAACTATTTTATTTGCTTAAGCTTTTGGAGGCATTTCTTACTAGTTCTGAGCCCACCAAAAACTCTGGATTATAACTCGCTAGTATACATGGCCAACAGCCCAGAATTCTGCAAGGTGAAGTCCAAAACATCCAGAAGACACTGAGCTGAGGAAGGCTTCTGGATCTACTTCTATTTTAACTTTTTAAAATTGCAATTGACTGTTACAACATGCCCTGGAGATCCAACTGGACTAGAAATAATTTTAAAAAGAATAAATAAATCAGACAGCACCTTGGATCCAAATCCTTAAGTGTTCATAATACAGGTGAGTGAAGGCAAAACCCACCTCAGTCATTGCCCCTTGTCCTTGAATGATACAGCATGTATGTTATAGTCATGCCCAATATGCTGCTAAATAATATTTAATAAAATATTTTAACCCACTTTAATTCCATGTGGCTCCTGAAGTAGCCTATAATATCTATTTTGCAGCCTTACCTGTATATTACATGCAAACCCCATCAATTTCATGACATGGAATCAATTATTATCACTTGGCAAGGAAACTTTGTTTAGTACCTAGCAAAACGTTCAATTTGTTTCTTGAAAAGGAGACCAAGCCTCTCAACTTAATGAAATTCTCAGAGATTGTAGCAAGTGTCTGTCTAAATGAATAACCCAATTCTTTCATTTCATTTATTGAAAATGTCCAGATTGCATAACAATCAGTCACCAGAGCTACAACTGAAAATACCTTCTTTCTCATAACAAATATATATTTCTATTGCTTAAAGCAAAACGATTTCTTAAGTATTTATGCAACAACTGGAGATGTTATTCATTGGCTGAAATGTCTGAAATTTGCATAACTGGGGATGCATTCTTTTCATGAAATAAATATGAACTTCTCTGTGTACTTGCTGTATTTTCTAGGAGAAATGCAGCTTCATAGAATGGCCAGATTTGCACATAATGAGCAATTCTACTTAAGGGATATGACACATCTAAAATTGGAAAGAAGACATCTGCATTTTTTAATTACAAGACAGATAACACCGGCACCATTTTTAAAAAGTTAAGCTGCAAAATTAGAAACAAATCTCCATAGAATACCACACCGATAATTAATTAAAACACAAACAAGAGCATGCTCAAAAAACAGCAGACAAGGAACTGACTAAAAATTCTTGACGCACACAATTTGGAAAGCAAGCGCCATCACCAGGAAGGCCCTGTTGTACATGGCTATTAATCATCCCTCAGCTAGAAGGGCTTCTGATAAAGACCTATGCATGCAAGTCTGTAGGGGAGGACATCCCGATTCTAAATTCTTTAAGGCTTTTGAAGTTCAAAATCAAAATTGGCTGTGGAAAATGAATGATAGCTTATGAGGATGAGACTATCAACACAATCTTGTCAAAATAATGGGCCACATTCGGTATCCAACTGATTGGCAGGAGGCCCTATAAGGGAGACAGAAGGGCCCTTAGGAATAGGGAAATAGGAAGCCCTCATCTACTTGTACTGGACAGACCCAAATTCCACTCCCAAAGTTCACAAGATCTTCAGGATCCATTCGAAAGGTGCCATGCCATGCTTTGGCAACCACCTAGCATCCACAGGAATGTTCAACTTGCTTGCAAAACTTTCAGTCATTCCCCCCACCCTTTTTAAAGCAGCCTGAAGCCCTTCTCACTGCTCTGTCCTCCTGTTGCCCAAAGTACGCTCCCCTGCTTTTCATACGGAGGAAATGCATTCTGGCCCTGTTTAGATTTGTTGTTTCATTGACAAACAGTACAGAGAACAGCCGTATGCCTTTCTTCTATCAATGCTGCTAATTTTAGATTAGAGTTTTTTTTCCTGTGCTACAGTCTGTTTTAAACACAGTCAGAGAGAGACTGAAGGGCGCCAGGATATCCCGATACAGGAGAAGGAAATGCCTGCTGTTACCTGTTATGCAAGCTGAACCTTGAAATCCTCAGCAGTGGGAGGGGAAAGGAGAGAGAGAAGCCAGAGACAAAATGATTAATGCATCATGAATAAGACATACTCAAATGACTGCTGCTATTACAAAAGAGCGATCAACTATACAACTCTCATGCCTCTGTTTTGAAAAGGCAATGGAATTAATCCCCATGGTCAGATGGAAAGTGTGCATCTGTTTGTGTATGCATATGTGTGTAACATAACATCTGCTGTCAGATGCATCTATCTCCACCAGATGGATGCCTCTATAATTTCCATACTTTCCCTCCTGCGCAGGTGCAGCACCCATATGTGTGATGCACAGAGGCCACGACAAAGAAATTAGGTTTTTTATGATTTATAGCAAAAAGAAATGCCTGAAACTAAAAGTAGAACAAAAAAAATTAAAGACACCTTTTAAAGCATCATTAACTTAATGAAACTTTATATTGAAAATAAATTCTTCCAGACAGGCAATTTGGCTGACAGTTCTTTGAATATCGCGAAGTCCCTGGCACGCACATCTCACAGCCAGCTTGCTGGCACTTCTTCATATGGGATTGACACTGAAGTGTTGGCTTTCTTATATGGTAGCCATAAATGGGATGGGCTGAATAGAGAGGAAAGATTAATTTATTCCTTATGCTGGTCAAATTAAATGGATGAAAAGTTTTAATTATTGAAGTTAAACATCCAGAATGAAAAAATAGGCTAACATATTAGTTTACTGTTGATCAGAGCAGGAAGAACCACAGGCCCACTGGGCATATCTGCACCACCAGTGTTCCTCTGACACATATGGTCACATATTGTATCATGCACCAACATTCATGAAGAACGGCCATTTCAGTGAGGAAAAAACTGTGGGTCAGGAATGGCTCATGGACCTGACCTTATCCACCTATGCTCCAAGCTTGCATGCGGGTGGCCGCAAAGCAGCAGAGCCCTAGCTGTCCTCCCCTCCCTTTTTTCTTGCCCTGGATGTCTTTGGGCCACATCCCAGAGCATCCTTCAGAGGAGCTCAGGTCTGTGCCAACCTGCCAGCCGGCCAGCCAAAACTGAAAGAAGAGAATGGGAGGGGAAGTGCTGCAGGGGTATGCTTGGCAACGGAGTGGAGGAACATGCCAGAGAGGAGAGAGAGGCTAGGGAAGCCAGTGGAGAGAAATTATGGATGAT